ACACAAATGAAAATTAACTTTTCATAGTTGCCAAGGTGCTTTGATTTGCCATCACCCAGAGGTCAGCAGCTTTGACAATTGCATTACTTAAAATAGGTGGGCTCCACTTTGGTGGTGCTAGGCCATGTTTTTAAACCTACCAGTAATCCAGTCATTCAAAACTTCTTAAATTATCTCTTTTCAAGATAAGTGCTAGGTGAATGGCTTTGTGAGTTTGAATAGCAACATTCACTGGATTATGCCTGCATCATGCATGTTTTCATTACTTGTGATCTGAGATGTAAAAGGGCAAGCTAACAGCGGACATCTAAGTCATGCCCACTAATTCATCACTGTGGATGAGAATCTGGAAAAACTGTCATGGACGCTTGGTTTTGAACCCTTTTGTGTCCTCTGAGTTAACAGGTTATTCTATTATTGAAGTGATGCAGGATCTCCACTGCAACGGGTAGGATTATTTTACGAATTCAGGGAAGCTGTTAAAATTAATTTTATTTTTTTTTAGTACTTTGCATAATAGTGGCTTTCATTTGAAGACTTCTAGCTACTACGCTGTCTGAGCAGAGGCTCCTGTTGCAGGCATCGGTGCAGCTTGTTCCAGCACTGTTTGCTTTTGAGCTCCATCTGCTGGAATTGTGTCCTGTTTCCCACATCTTTGGTATTATGCTGTCAGGTTTCACAGGGATTGGTTTTAATGTAAGAGAATAAGGAACAAAGTTCACAGCTCAGAGGAATTTCTAGCAAATTGTTTGTGCTTTTGTTTAATGAATTAACCTAAAGATTGCTTGGAGAATACAAGGCTCAAAACACAATATATTTGGGAGACTGAGGAAAAGAAATACTAGTTCTTCCTCCACTTTTGTTTACAAAGTTTGTTTCTAGGTATTTTACAGAAATTTGAATTAATCAGGTCAGTCATAACCTATGAAGTTCTGTATTTCAAAAATAGGTTACTTTACAACTTTTTCTGAATTAGTTGTTTTGTTTTGTTTTCCCCTAAGGTCTGTTGTTATTCTATAACTAAGAAAAACAACAGTGTTTTCAATATTTAATTAACTTTAAAAAAAGCCATTCTTCCCCATTGTTACTGTGTTTCTAGTATTTCAGAATATTTAAGGACAGAAGGGACTGTGATGAATGTCTAATTTGATTTTTGTAGTTCCATTGTTCCCTGACAAAAATGTACTGCAAAGAATAATGTGCAAAATTGAAAAAGAGAGCCCTGCTGTGCAAAACCACCCTGAAACTGTTTAAGTAGTCAGAGGCTTTCATGGTAAATTATATAATGACTGTCTACAAGTTTTCTTTGTAAGAAGCACCATTCTCTGCTCAGAAGATACATTATAATGTTCACATCAACAGTAATGTATGTGTATAGAATTAGGATTGCCACCAGTCCCTGGATGCAGACACTGGTGTTGGCAGTGCGTGTAATTCTAGAGAACAAGCACTCCTCTGGAAGAGTTACCTTCTCAAAGAGCATAGTACCTATGTTTTGAATTTTTCTTTTCTTTAACTGGAAGGCTAATAGTACCTTTCTTCTCCCTGTCCCTAATGCTAGATGTTACTAATGTGTATTCTCTTTCATAACAGGTTTGTGTCTACAGTAATCTCAAATATTATTTCCTTGCTGTCCATCTGCCTGTCAGCAATATTTTGTGTTCGCTTATGATGTATGCACCTTTTTTTTTCTACAAGGCAAACTTTGCCTGAACTGGTTTTAGTTTCTTGATGTGGGTAACTATATGCTGTGATACTTAAGTCTTGGGAACAGGGGTAGAGAAAGAACAGAGAAAGTGCTGGGCTTGATATTAAAGATAAGTGTTCTCTTTTTTTTTTTTTTCAATTCTGCCTTGTACTTTTCATGGACATGGCACACCGCACTCTGTGGTGTACTCCATTGATGCCCAAGCTTGTTCTAGCCTGAGCTGGTCCATCTGCCTCCGCAGTCTGTTAAGTAATGCTGCCCTGGCTAACCTCTGAGCCTCGGTCAGGGTTACTCACTCAGGCAGAGCACGGGGCTCATCCAGCTGTATAACTTCCAATTTTGCCACTGGTTCAGGCTCCACACTCCACCGCGCAGTGTCCAGATGTGCTGGGTGGTACTCGGTAAACGATGTAAGCCTGCTCTGCGGTAACCTGGGCACCTGTAAGTTGGATTCTTTGCTTCCTGCAGAGTTGTAGGAATATGGTCGTTAATGCATATGCAGCAATGTACTTCATTGAAAAGCCTATTTACTTTTTCAGAAAGTGATTATTATAATGGATTTCTTAGGCTTCTGCATGGGACAAAACTGTCAGTCATTTTTCACATAGGTTTGGAGGGATATTGTCTGTATTTCCTGATGGTTTCCTATAAAATGGGAAGATAGCTAAGGTGTCTCTTGGTCACTGGACTTCATTGTTCAATGAGCACGCGCTGCCTTGTGCTGGTATTTAAAGTGCCGTATTTTGTGATCGGTACTTTTTAGACCTACAGAGATGTAGGCAATAGAAGGATTGGGACTCTACTAGTAACTGCTGCTGTGTTCTAAGATTGAAACTGGCTGGTATGTTCTCTTTACCACTGTAGAGTAAGTTCGATTGTTGCTGTTATTTCTGTAATGACAAGTACTTCCGATTTAAAATTATTCAGTGAGTAATCATGGTCCAACCCCCTTTGTAGCTCACTTCTGTTCATGGGATAGAAGTGTGAGGTTTTTGTTGGTTTTAGTACTGACCCAAATTATAATTAATATTCCCATGTCCCAAACATGTCATTCTGATTAGAGGCTCTTTGCCCAGGCATTTCTGTGTAGCCTGCCCTGTTTGAAACCCTGCCTTTTTCTGACTTCACTTCCTGAATCCGTTGACAACACTCACAGCCAAACAAAATACATGTTCACAATGCTGTTATTTGCAAAATATTCCCTTGTGAGTACAGCTGGGGCAACAAAAAGCGAGTTTCTCTCTGAATGTCAGAGAGAGCTGACTATTCCTTATAGAAGTAAGGGACATAGTATATTAGGTAATTTTAATATTGGCAGATAAGTAAGTGTTAAAACTTTGCATTTCACCATGTGCAAATACACACAACTGTAATTAACGACGTGTGTGTATTGATCACAGGGTGATCTAGTCATATCTAAAGAGTGCTGAGTTTTAATCTCTGCTGGAGTGAACCAGATAGCAACAGGCTCCTAGCCCACCACACTGTTTACAAAACAGATGGATGTGGAAGGAATATAAACTTGCTTTGCCCTGTCTTAGGCCTGATCCTCAAATGAGTTGTGGGACTCAAGAAAGGTTTCATCTAAATCACCCCTCTTCTCCTAGTGAAACTGCATAACTGGTGCTAAAAACCACCCTGCTTGATGGGAGATTCTCTGACGATACCAGGACTCCTGAGCTGGACCGAGTCAAGGTGACTTGTGTCACAGAAACCAAATGATTTGACAATGTCCACTTAACAAGCAGAGCTATTAGTAATTTTCTTGCCTATGCCACAGAATGTCATACTTGAGAGAGAAAACGTAACTGCAGTGCTAAATGTCTGTGTGTGTATTAGGATAGGGTGGAGCAGGCTGTCACTCAGCTGTATTTAATTAACATAGTATTTTATATAATGTATTTATTTTTACGTAATTAGGTGATTAAGCAAAAAGCTTGCTAGTAACATCTATTCCATAACGCAGCACTGTTGAGAGTTAAAATATGCACCTTTGCAGGTAATTAATCTCCTTGCCCTGCTTATTTTGCTAGTTGGCACTTGCCAAATCCCTGTAAAACCACACCCAGCAGTGCTGTGTATTATCCCTCTTCTGTCTATTCCTACATATGGTCAAAATCAACTTACCTTCCGGGTTGCTGACATCAGCAAAATGTACTCTTGGCAAACTATAGTATCCTCCTAGTAACCCTTTGTTTGGTTGGTGTTGTTACAATTGTATTCCTCTGACAGCAGCAAACACCATCTAAACAGTGCCTACCTTGACACTTGGATTGTGATGTGGAAGGAGATTACCATATTATCATATTTTAACCATTAAAGCAATGCCTCACATTATAAAATGATTATAATATGGGGAAGAAAAAAAGTTAGAGGAAAGATACTTCTCTGATTCCTGTAAGGAACTGATCTGTTCCAAGTTTCAGGGTATCATTTTGGTAACAGTAAAGGTATGTATCTCCAATTATCTAGTCATCTAGTGCAGTCGCTTCAATTAAAATTCTGCTTATTCCTTATTATGATTATAGGAATAAAGAGAAAAGACATTTTTAAGAGTGCCTTCTCTAAATTAGCATTCACTAATAATGAATTTGTAATATTTTCCTGCTGTCTTTAATAGCATCTATTTCCCCTTAGCTGTTTGGCTTTACATAGCAAGCAGGAAAACATCTGGTCTCCCTTCAAATATATTCTTAAATTAAATGAATCGGGTAGTGTTGAAATTGTTGAGTATACTAACTGTACCTCACCCTTCAACGAGTTAAGTTTCTAAGGTATATATTTATATAGCCATTGTATTAAATACAGCAGCACTGTCATAAATATTAACAAACAAGGATTACCTCCTAGGAACACAGGGATAAAGGTGAATGTTTTTGGTTTTGAAGTCTACAATTTTTTTTTTTTAAATACAACCACTTACCTAATCTTGAGGGCATTAATTTAATAAAAAGCCTGTCAGATCAAGTAGCCAGTTGCTCCAATTATGGAACAGTTTCATGGACTGGCTTTCCACCCCTCTGCAACCTTTTAAAAGCATCTAAACTAGGACACTAGAATATGGCAGGCAAGCTAGTCAAGTTACAATAGGGAGCTACAGCTTCAAGACAACTCAAAAAAGTTGTATTAGTTTAGCAATCAGGATCTAACTTCTCTCTCTTCTCACACGTTCTCCAGGACATGCCTGTAGTTACAGAGCAAGTTTAACATAATCCCTACCCGTAAGCGTTCAGCATAAATAGCATTTTCCCAACTCAGGTACTAGCCAAAAAAAAAAAATGTGAGGGGGAAATGCATTTTAATTATTTTATTTTTCTTAAATATAATAGAACCTTCTAGAATTTTTCCAGAAACAGAAACATTAAAAAATTATACTTTATTACAAATGGTAAACTCAGAGTACTAAAAAAAAAATGCCTCTTATTTACAAACAATACTGGGCAGTGCCCAAATAAACAACATAAAAATAACTTACAAAGTCATGAAGTAGTTTATTGACATTAATCAACTTTCATAAAATAAAATAAAAAAAATATGTACATACACAATTTACTTGAAGGCAGGCAGAATAGTTCTTTTTTGTTTATCAGCCTCCCACACACCTCCCTCCCACTTTGTGTTTTTTCTTTTTTCCTTAAGTAATACTACATAAAGCAATCTACAGTTTCTATTGCAGTTTAACCTTTAATACTGAATGATCATTGATTGTTAGGTCCATGCAGGTCTTGGTCAATGTTAAACGAAGATCTGACATCTCATCTGAGCAGGAACAGCACTTCTCGGAGCAGTGCTGGCCGCTTCGCTGCTAACTCAAACTGAAGGCTTGCCAGTCTTTCCACACATGCGCTTTGCAGAGCACAGGCAGGACTCAGCCTTTCAGCTTTTACCATTAGCTTTATGCATCTGCCACTTGTGTTTTTTCGTTTCAGTTATACCACAATATCACAGTCCTCGTTTAAGACAGTCTCTTCAAAACGTTTGCAACTGTTGTGTTAGCATTAGCTGGCACCCGCTGTTGACATGGTTCATGACCTTCTGCTTAAGCTGTGCAACCTGTTCTCTGAGCATGTTGGCAGTAGATGCCAGCTCTGAGTTCTGGGCTTTCAAAGTTTTCACTTTTTCTTCCAACCTGGCAATCCTTTCCAACTTCCTTTTCCGGCATTTGGATGCCGCGATTCTGTTTCTCATGCGTTTTCTCTCAGCTTTGATTCTCTCCTGTGACTCCATGTCAATAGGGGACAGGGGAGGAGTTTCCCCTGGCATTTCGGGTACAGTCTGAGGCTCTTCTTTCAAAGCCTGAAGCCTGGGATGCTGCACGGGCATCTGGGGGTTTATGTGATGCTGTGGTGCGTAGCCCATGTTGTTTGTGTTGTAGTTCGGCGCGGAGTTGAGCGCGTTGGGGTTGAAGTTGCTGAGATTGGCGTACACCGGGGGCTCGCTGTGCAAATTCGTATTGAAGCTGCTGCTGCCAGCCATGGAGGACACAG